TTATTGCTACATACCTAAATAAAGAAAATATTGAAGTTATTGAATCAGATTGCAATTACCTTTCTATCAATAATTGTGACATATCAAAATAGGTAACAGAATAATCACATTTGATATGTTACCACTTATTATTGAATTGCTTGTCGAGACACACCTGCACAGGTTCATGAATCCGACAATGGGATCTGATCGGAGCCGGCCAGATCCCACAGCATTCTGATCGAATCCCCTCGCTTCTTATAAGGATCCGATAGGAATACATCGAATGCCCGGATTGAGTAATCCGACTTGGATCCCCAGGGTCGAAATCGATAATGGCGGATTCGGATTTCTGGACCTCAATAACCTATTTCAAACTTTGATCAGAATTCAGATCGGAGTTGAAATAAAAAGTCTAACTTTACAGCCGTCGATTTTTTGATGGACCCAATTTCTGACCAATGGGAGCTTGGATTGAAAAAATGATGACGGGTTCGGATTCCTAGACCTCGATAACCTATTTCAGATCTACATTAGTTAAATCATGTTCAGAAAATATCGCATCTTGGTTTTAGCTAGAACCATTTTGGAAAAATGATTCAGCGTAAAAAAAATGGTGCAAGACAGAACCCTTTCAAACACCCGGAACTATGCATGATCTGAAATGGTTCTTTAAAGTCGCTAGAACCCTCGATGGTTTATTAATAAACGAATAAAACCTTGAAAGGTTTAGTATCTTCGGTAGAAGCATTTTTGAGTCCAAATGGCTCAGTATGACGCTTTGTTTTCGAGAGTACGAAATGTTTAAATCATCGGGCATCCTTTAAAATGTTCAATGAAAAGTCGGACTCCTATTTTATTTGACTGTGACACCATTTTGAATTTAGGTATTTTCGTAAACCCATTTTGGATTCTTATAATACCCTTTTGAAATTGGGTTTTTTCGGAAACCGTTCAGGAAATGAAAAGGTACTTTCGCATACCCTTTCGGATACTAACTCAGTTTGTCTTCTAATATGGGTTTTCGACAATACCTTTCCAGTTTCCGAGACAACATTTGGGTTTCCGACAGCAAGAAAAAGGTATTCTAGAATACTTTTAGAGTGCCCAATTGGGGAGTGTAGGAAACCTCTAGGTTTCCGAACGTTCGGAAACCGAAAGGGTATTTTTAGAAACGCTTTCACTGTTCTGAAACCCTCTCGGAAACGGATAAGGATTTCCGAGTGGGTTTCCGAACCCCTTTCGGTTTTCTAGGATACGGAAATTTTTTAGAGTGTATGAATAACTATTCTATAAAGACCCCAATAATGAAGAATAGGGTGCACAGAATGGTTAGGACTATTCCAGAAATAATAAATGCGGAAACTTCGGATTTAAATCCGAGAGTTATGTGTACTTCAAAAAGTGAATTATACGAATCAATCATCCTAGACTGTCTGAATATCAAAATTCTACTGTGAAATCTACCATTTAAAATGTTGATTTCTATTGCACGTTGCGAAACCAATAGGGCATGGGACCGAATACAGCTCAAGTTTGAACTCTTTCTCTTGATTTACCCTAAGAAAGTCGTTTTTCCTGTAACTTCATTTCTATTGGCCACTGCACAACTAATAGTATTTCGATGGAAGTGTAGTACACATTCGAGTTCTCCATATCTGAAAGCCTCGAAGTATCATCAGTGTGACCGGAAGATAAAGCTCTATTTGTGGATCAATTAGATCGTGGACCAAAGTACAACCTAGTTCTCTTTAATTATCCTTGTCTTAGGTAAGTCAACCTTCTTGTTTCCTTATGTTTTATATATCATTTTGTAGTTCTTGAAATTCTCTATCGAATGGTATATAATAGTTGGGGTTTCAATTGACTATGATAGGAAAAGTCTTTTACGAAAGTCGCGATGGGTCCATTTTTCCACAGAAAGCTGTAGGGAAAAATGGGTATTTTTGCAATAACTCAGAAACGGCTCGGCCGGTCCTTCTAATCTTCGAACTCGACCGAGATATTGTCAAGACTAAGCTGTGTAGAAAGTTTCATCGCAATCTGACTCTGCTGTCAAAAGTTATCATGTAAACAGCCAACCGGACGGACGGACACACTGACTATTCTATAGTGTACTCACTTTTTGAGTACACAAAACTATGATTCGGTTCAAAACTAATATCAGATTCAGAATCAGCGTTAAAAACTGAGTCGATTTATGTATTTTGTGAATAATTATGAGCAAAAACTTTTTTTTCGAAAAATCTCCGTACCCCCCCTCAGGGATGGTCTGGTCAAAAATCACAATTTTTTCGATAACTTAGCCATTTCTTGGCGGATCCTTCTCATCTTCGAACTCGACCGAGATATTGTAAAGACTGAACTGTATAGAAAATTTCATCGTGATCAGACTCTCCTTGCGAAAGTTATCGTGTAAACAGCCGAACGGACGGCCGGACATACTGACCGATTCTAGAGTGTACTCACTTTTTGAGTACATAAAAAGATTTTGAGAGCTCTCATTGTGATATTCTTAACCAGCACCTCTCAATCTACCACTATATCTGATTTTGACTCATGAAAAAAAAAATTTTTTTTTTCGTGATACCTGAGGGGGACCCCAGGCACAAAAATCATCAATGTCGATTTTCGGGGAATAAAATTGAAAAAAGTGATCAGAGACGTTCCCGCTTTCCACAAGTCAGAAACGCTCACGCTCATGAGCGCTCACATGAGCGTGAGCGTGAGCGCTCATACCGCTTACGTGAGCGTGAGCGCAAAACCGCTCACGCTCATGAGCGTGAGCGTGAGCTGTACACCCCTAGTACTAAGTCTTAATGAGTAGTTTCGTCAAGAATAGAAAACAAGTTATAAGCATAGTTTCCTCTTTTCGCTTTACAAGAATTCTTGATAGAATAATGTAAACAAATCTTTTTATGAAGTCGGTGCTAGTAGCATATCTAGAAATACGAATAATAACAAGAAAGACAAATACAACGATCAATGACAAGAGCAACTATAACATCTTTGTCAGACACCAAGACAAAATATAATTTGTGTGCACGAAACATGGATACACGAAAATGCAACGTTAATTTTTCATCATTTTAAGATTTATTTACATATTGATTTTACTTTAGAAATATCTCTGAGCAGAACCTAAGAGATATATAGTTATATTACAATGTGTAATGTAATATATAGAGACAAAACTAGATAAGCTAAATTTACAATAATGATATATCAATGTGAGTAAGAATCAAAAAGAATATTTATTCGACGATGGTTAATTCATCATTTCATCAAAAATTGATACAGAAACCGTTTCGAATTATTTCGGAGCAAAACTTTTATCGTTGACCCATTGAAAAAGATCCCTAAATATGACTCATCATCAAGTGATGATAGCACAACATCAACAATTTATTAAAATGAGTTGAAAACTCTTATTTAAAATAAATATGTTCTAAAAAGTCTGAATATCAGTCCTTAAAATTAGAATAACCAGTAAGAAAAAAGTAAAATAATGAATAACAGTAATCTTTATTTCTTTAGAACTATCATCTATACTTGATAAATCATTACAAATAGTAACTATCAATTCAACATCAATATCTTTATCGTAAAGACTATTATTATCAATTAAGTGATATTTCGAAAAGAATTCATATATAAAAACAAATATATGTTCGAAAATATTTTACAATAAAGCTCGTCAAGTAATTAATTGATGTAGAGCTTCATTAAAAACTCAAACATGTACATGCCTTGTAAGGCGATTTAACATCAGATATACAATATCTAGATTGTTTTTTACAAATTAAACTAACTCTTTGGGATGGTGAAACGTGTTCATATAATTGTTGATCTTGAGGGTGTGACTTATAAAATGACAAAAAAAGGCCATTTGTGATGAATAAACCATACGTATTCTTTAATGTTATTTGAAATTCATTGATGAAAATCGTGCTTTTAATTCATGAAAATAACATGATGAGAAGGATGAAAAAGAAAGACCTTGAATTCTATAAAAAGGATTCAAATTTATTATCATGTGACTCAAATCGTACAAAACTAATGAAAGTAATGAAAACATCTCAGTTTTCGAAAATAATCATCATTATGCAATGAAAATGATGTCAAAGTAAAGAATGAAATTTCCTACATGTAAACTCAAACAATAACCATTGAAATGAATTGTTTTTGATTTTTCTTTTTTAGTCACTGAGTTACGGCTGTGAATGTGATGTAAATAGAATAAGTACATATTCATCGTCGACTGGCGATAAATTGATCGTCGATGAAAATGATTATCTCATCTATGATCAATTATCTATTAATCATTATCATTGAGTGATAGTTCATGTTTTTCAAACATCCTATATAAGGAATGATTTTCTTGTATAAAATCATTCAATTCAATCGATCTATTGTATCAACAATAGATTGAATAAGTATTCAAATAAATTGTTTTTTTTTTTCAGGAGGTGCAAGATAAAATTATGTACATAATTATGATATTTATACATTTACATATTATATATATATATTCCAATTTTAAATAGGGTATCTTGTTTCTTTTTTTTTCTCTTAAAAACAGGAATAATGAAAAGTATTGAGTTTAGTTTTTTTTTTCTTATTGGGATAAAAAATTTACAAATAAGTTGAAAAGTTCTATTGGCCACTAGAACTTTTCAAGTTATTTTTTTCTTTTTTCTTTCATACTTATATTATTATGTAGAGGGAGATAGATACTATTTTATATCACAGCCCGTCAGATGGCTTCGTAATCTGACCCAGGGAGATTTCCTGTGCCTATGTTGGCGAAAGCAGTGTAGTACTCGGGAAGGCCGTCTATTTGTAGGTTCCTGTCGCCGTTTACATACGTCACACCTATGATCATGCCCTACCAGTCCGGCGTGGTCCGCTCTGCGTGTACCCATTGCGGGTTTACAGAGAGTCTTCCTGGTCGCTCACGCGTACGCGAGAATCAATTGTAATGCAAATAAATTTAGTCAGGAAAACGAAAAAAAAACAAATTATATTTTCTGTCGAATTTTTTCAAATGTTTCTTTATATTCCAAAATATTAGGATGATTTGAAGGTAATTTTTCTTGAGCAATTTCTACGGCTTGTTGAACATTTTTCATTGCCATATTATATTGTCGAGTAGATAAATATAATTTCGCGAAATTGTGATATACAACAGCTAAATCAGGATGACTTTTTGGTAGTTTATTTTCACGTATTTCTAATCCTTTTTGATAATATGTCAATGCCGTTGTATAATCTTTCATTTGACGATATATTTCACCTAAATTTATATATGTCGTTGCACATTCGGGAGGATTACATTGAACATTTTCTTGAATATTTAATGCTTTTCGATGAGATGAAATTTTCCTTCTCATAATGACCCATTAATCGATGAACATCACCAATATTACTGTATGTAATAGCTAGATACAGATGATTTTCAGGTAGTGATTTTTTATCTATTGCAAGGCATTTTTGAAAGTAATCAAGTGACTTTGAATAATCTTTCATACTGCGATAAACTCTTCCAAACCAGCTGTATGTTGAAGCGAAAGCTGGATTACCTTCAAAAGCTTTTTGCTGAATTTGATAAGCATTTCTAAGGGCTTCAAGAGCTGTTGTGTAATCACCCATTTTTTCGTAACATGCTGCAAAACTCAAACGACTTCCAGCCAATGAGGGATGATTCGAAGGCAGAGTTTTTTCGTAGATTTTATGTGATTTTTCGTAACATTCAAGTGCTTTCGAGTAATCACCCATGTTATTATACATTTGACCGATGTTGCTGTATGAAGTAGTCAAATCAGGATGGTTCGAAGGCGGAGCTTTTTCGTCGATTTTAAGTAATTTTTCGTAAAATTCAAGTGCTTTCGAGTAGTCACCCATGTTATTATATACTAGAGCAATATTATTGTACGTAGGAGCTAATGAAGGATCATCTTTCGGAAGAGTTTTTTGCTCGATTTTCAGAGATTGTTCGTAAAATGCAACTGCTGCTTCGTATTGTCCTTGGTTTCGTTTCATCATTCCAAGCTGGTGATAAATGTATGCTCTATCACTATCATCCGATGCCTGTTCTAGTAGTACCAGATATAGTTCTTCGGCCTTGTCGAATTGACCTATTTTGAATAACAATTGCCCCATTCGACGCCATCCAGTGCCGCTGACCTCTTTTCGTATAAAGTCAGTTAATTCTCGAAGTTGTGGATCATCATCTGACGTAAGTTGAAGATCGACTTAATAAAGTGCACGATTGTTGTCAATTTTTCGAACTTCACCAATGCGAAAGACGGTGTGCATGGAGAAGAGAATTTCCTCTTCTTCCTTATAATAGCTCACCTCCTGGATAGAGGCGAATGGAGTTGATGATGCTGTAGGATCAATGGTTATTTGGAATAGAATCCCAACCATATCCGTCATTTTCAAGGCTTCTTTGGCGAAATCGATTGAGACACCTGAATTTGTGCTGGTAGATAAAAAGTTGTTAAAAGAAATAAGCCCACATTTGTTTTCTGCGAGCTTTTCAAAATCTACTTTCGATAGAGTCTATGGGCTTTTTTATTTCAAACTGAATTCTAAAATCAAAAAAACCACACCAATTTCTTCCGAATCAAACTTTTCTCGCTTGATACTACGTAGTCTCACTAAAAACCCTTAGTCCCCCCTAGTCCTGCAAAGTCCCCCTTAGTCCCCCCCACAAAAAGCTTAGTTCCCGCTTAGTCCCCTGTGCAGGGGACTAAAGCCTATAGTACACAAAACCACAAGCACACCCTCACCCTCACTCGCGCGCCCACACCCGCACCATGGGTGTGGGTGTGTGTGTGGGTCCCAGACCAACACCCACACCCTCAGTCCCCCCCACCCCCCCCCCCACTCCTAGGCTCACGTTTCAGTTTGAAATCAAGTATTATTTTTATTTGATAAATTCAGACTGAAATTAAATAGCCCATTGTATGTTTCGATAGGCCTTGCCCTCGAAAGATTGTAAAAATCTTGTTATGGTATTGACTGACCTGATTTTTGTCCAAGGTTTCGATTTGTCGATGTACATCACATAGGAAAAAACCCATTCGGATCATAATGTCGCCATTGAGTGTTCTTAATGCACCATTAAGCATTTTGTATGTGAAGCATTGGCGTGTATACCACCAAATGGCGTTGGATGCTTGATAAGTACGTTGAAATTCATTGATAATTTTGATTTCCTTTTTATTGCCTTGATATTGTTCTTGGCAGTAGGTAACCAAATCTTGAACGGCTTATTCATCATGTTCGATTTCAAGGAGTATTTCCTTGAATATTTGTGAATACATAAAAGAAGGTTCTAGGTGATCTAGATTCTTGCTAGAACCTCCTGCATTCACACTAACAATGCTCATCGACATATGATCTTGATTGCATTGTTTGATTGCTGTTGCCAATTTTTCACAAATATGTTTGATTGAGGTGTGAACACCTTTAATTTTCGGCCAATTTTGCGCCCATTCTTGATGTCGTTGTTTATTGGCACAAAATATAAAAATGGCATTTAATTTTGCCATATCATGAATATCTGGTACCAAATGTTGTCCAAGTGCACCTGAGGAGATAACAAATGAGATCTCCTCTTGATTTTCCATAAGCATTTGTATACATTGTTGAGCTGTGTTACATGGATTAACTTGATTGACGACAGCACGTAATTGTTCCATTGTATTTTGGCAATCTTCATTTGCCATGTCGATATTTCCATCAAGCCAGATGACCAAATAATTTTCAGCCATACGGTGTCTTTGATATTGAGTCATTTTTGATGCCATTTTTGCTGCTTGATTTGTAAATAGATTGTTGTTTGAATAGATATTACTTTTGCTATTTATACGTTGGATGTCGACTGTTTTTTTCGTTGACACTCAAAGTCAAACTTCACCTGGATGTAATCAAAAGTATCGCTGTCAGCAACAAAAGGTAGAGAAAAAAAACCCGCAATATCATTTATTTTATCATTATTCTTTCCAACTTTCGTTTGCTTCTCATCTGTATAGTTACTAGTCACTTAAAAGTCAGTGCGTTGGATATCTTATCTCATTCAGCTTTTATTTGTCTTTTAGCATCTCGAAACAAATGAAGACATTGTCAGTTTTATTTTTATTTTTTTTAATTATGCATAAGACTTGTTTTCTGATAATGTGAGCAAAAGAAAATGAAGAATAAATTCAATATTGTTACAAACAACAACAGAACAACAGTTTCTGCTTCTTTCCCAACCAATATACTGTTCATCATTTACGAGTTGTTCAAGTAAAATGAATACAGTTCGAATATAATTGAGTATTGAAGGGCGTATTATAAATTCCAGGAAAGGACTAAAATATATAGATATTTTGAGATTTTTACGTCATATGTATTGAGAAATAAGTTTTTCCTGAGTATAATAAATATTTTGTTAATGTAAAAGAAATTTTTGATCTTTCTAAGCACAATTTTCAAATGTTTAACCGTTGATGGAAAGGACAGTACAAAGAAAAATAAATCTTACTTGAAAAGGAATTGCTATGTGATTACAATTATTCAGTTAATTTTTACAGTGTATTACAATAAATTATTTTAGGTTTTTATTAATTACATATGATTCATATTTATCATGATATTAGTTACATTTATAATGTCATTATTTTCATCTCTTTTGCATTTTTTGTAGTGTTCTTTCCATCGATACTTACATGGTTTAAAAATGGTCGTTAGAAAGACAGAAAATTCCCTTTATATAAATAAAATATTCATTATACTCAGAAACACAATTCCCATTCTAATTCAAATCAATTTTTAAAATAAAATTAATCTTTGGTTTTTTTTCTATTTCGATAGAACAGTTATTATTTGAATAAAAATAGTTTTATTTCTGGATATTGATGCCATATGTGATAATGAAAATTGCATTTTATTTCGAAGTAGTATTAGACAAGTATTACTATATTCACGTTTTTTCAGTGTGAAATGTAATCATGACCGTATCTCAGTAAGACTGACAGAATGAATTTATCATCACTCATAAGCTTGTTAATGTGTGCGTTGATTTATATTAAACTCATTTGGAATATATATGGTATAATAAAAAGACATCTTCTTCCATTGATATCCAAGATTCATAAAACACTAATATTCAAATTGTGTTTGTCCACATGTGAGATTCATACAATTTTAATGTGCATCACAATGACAATGAGAAAATTTCTGCCCTGTGTGTTAAAAGAACGTTAGAATCTATGTACGAAGTATGATTAGTATAATGTTAAAAAAAATCATTAAAATCGGACGACTGTTCAAAAATTTCTTATTTTCACCGTAAGAAAGCATCTGAGTGATATCAATGAGAATGACTGTTTCAAAAACCTTCATTTCGAGAAAAAAAAACATGAAACAATATGAAACATGTTCTGTCATCGACAAGTTTGACTTCTGGCATTCGGCTCAGTCAGAGTACTAAAATAAAATGTATCGTACTGTAGTAAAATTTAGTCTAAAAAACATGTTGAAAAATAAATCAATGACCGAGACTGGACTATTTTGACATGACTGGATCTTATCGAAAAAAAAATAGTACTTCGATTTCCTACAAAAAAAAGACATTTAACATGTCAAAGTGTAAAAATACGATATGTCTTTTATTAGTGTGAATGCATACTATTTGTGATTATATTGTAGAAAAAAAACGGTTGAGTCATTTATTGGACAAAGAAAGTCTGTTGGATATATGTTGATGTGTACGAATAAAATTTACTTTTTCTGATTTGGATGTGGATATTCTCTTCATCCACACCACACCCTATTGTCCAGATTTAATGGTACGTGACATGAACCATATCCTTATGTAAAGAAAGGCAAGAAATGATTGTTTCTCATATGTTTGCATCCCATTCAGCAGAGAATTAAAACATCTTAATTTTTCCTAAAGATCGGCTGAATATAAGCATAGAGCCCGTTTTCTTAATAATAGTATAAAGAAGAACTAGTGGATTTGTTTTGAGTTTTGAACTCTCAAAAATCCAACAAAGTGAAATATGAGTATTTCTTGCAAATCCAGTATCTTCAAAAGAAAACCTCTGTTTGAATTAAAAATTTAAGGACACTCTATAAACCATGAGATCTACATGCGAAAAAAAAATGAAGTCGAAATTCCGCCATTCACGATTTGAACATTCAAAATCTAAAAATTCAAGAATCTGCTTTTTTCCCCTTGTAAAAGAGGAGAAATAAGAATATGATAATACAGGTGGCGATACACAATGTTGTCAAATCTCTCTAGAACTCATCTAATTATGTCACTACTATTAGAATTCAACTATACATATTATCCATGCAAAAGAAAATTTCTTTTCCTATGCATTTAAAAGACGAAAAACCAGAAAAACGAAGAAAATAAATTTATGGATTTCTCATTGCAAGGATACTACATACAGTATACTACATACAGTCATTAGTTCAATTGATACTACTCTAACTAACAATAATCAGAGTATGAATGAAGAGGAGATGAATACTCATACTCATCTATAAATTTTAGAGAATTGCATCGCAATCAAAGCAAAAACAATGAACTTCAACATTTTACGAAACTTCAAAGTAGAAGTTCTTTTTATTTTCCTCATGATCGAAACTGGTAGATTTGACAAAGTTCTTCAGTGTTCTAGATGCGTCAGCAATATACAAAAAAAAAGAAAATTCAGTACATTTTTTTTCAAATAAATTTCAGAATATAGAAGCTCTTTGATCAAAAACTTTGAACTCACACCAGAAAAATTCCTTCTGTGATTTATCAATCAACATTTAATATTACTATAAATGTTTAAAAACATTACAGTTTTTATAAGCAAATATCTGTAATTGGTAAAAGACA